GCAAATTTTGGAAGGTTCACTGAACATGGAAGAAACATTGTGTCACGGCAATCATTAATAAAGATTAAAGACAGAAAATTCAGAGCCATTACGATTAAATAGATTTTGTCATTTTGTGCTTTCAAAAGCGATACTCCCTTCAATTTTACACCTATATATAAAATATAAAATATAAAATAAAATTATATAGATTAAAACAAATATCCTTCAATTGAAGGCAATGACACTGTTGGGTACTAAATATGGGTACTTCTCCTAATGGAAGATTTGATCCTTGGTTTACTACGTTTTGGAAAACTAACTCCTTCCGCTAAACCTAACCCCATTGGTAATATATTTTATTTTTTAAAAATACTTTTATTTATGAAGAAAGAGTGAATGAAATAGAGAATGAATAAAAAAAATTGTATAAAAGATAATTAAATTAATGATATGACTAGAGAAAACATATATATATATATATATATATATATTGCAACTTCTTTTTCCATCATTTCGCAATCCAACTTGTTGGATTAATTCAATGATCAACACATGAATGAACCCAATACAAATTAATCATTAAATAACTAATAAGATAGGAGTAATTATTAGCTATCTTTGAATTGAACAAAATGCATTAGATTACACCTTGGAAAAATTGGAATTGTTTTTCCTGATTGAAGAATCTAATTTGATTTTGTTTGATTATAGTTAACAAATTTCAAGTGGATGCTGATTTTCCCCACTCATGTGTTCCCCACTGAAAGTCAACTAAGTCGCCTGCAACACGACATGCCTCACATTAAAAAGAAAAAGAAAAAAAAGGAGTGTATCTTGAAAAAGTACTGTGTCTTCCCCTTAAGCTATCTGTTAAATATTATTATAACCCGCAAAAAAATATTTTTAAAATTTTAATTTTATATTATACAACTATAATCTAAACTTTGGATAAAGTATGTTTTTAATTTCCTAATAAAAGTCTAATAATGAATACCATAGTTTAATCCAAATTTCAATATTATTAGAATCAAACCCTGTGTTTTTTATTATAATAGCCGACACATATGATATTATTCAGATTATATGATTTCAAAACCTTAAATCACATTTGTTTTCTCCTTTTGCTATTTATTTTCTTAAAATAGCATGGTTTTTTGAACCATTCATATTCCACTTGTGAAGTCCTTGGTCTAGACCTAATCTGCGACAATTAGGGCAGATTGGCACTAAACAATTGTATCAAAAGGAATTGACTCCAGCTAGCTACTTTGAATTTTCACAATTATTATAAGTCTTACTTGCATGCTCAGGTCAGTCTTATTTTCTTATAATTAGATAAACAAGATAAAATTTATTTGGAACCTAGCAAGTTTATGTTTACCCTTGAAAATTAAGCATCATCACAAGTTTGACTTGGGGAACATGAGAGATTGAAACGCCCTTAGATGAAGTGATTTCATTAATTAATCCCAAAAAAGAAACAATTTTTAGGTTTTAGTCTTTAATTCAAAAGAAGAAAATAATTTATGAATCTTACCATATATTAGCAAGCCAAAATGAATTTGATTGACATTGCAAAATTTCTACAAAGGGGTTCAATAACTAATCAATCCATTAACCTTAATTAAGGACTTCAATTGATGTAATAAGAAAGTACATTGTATATTTATGTTTTGGCAAAAACAAAAAAAACAAAAGAAAGTACATTGTGAACAAAAAATAGGTATCAAGTTTTTTTTTTTTCAATGGTTCAATGTACTTTTGTGATGAACCTTCTAATAGAAAAGTACTCTCTCCATCCCTTTCTTATAATTTGGGAAACCCTAATTAATTTTTATATTTAAAATCGGAGGGACAACTGTTTTATTATTATTTTTTAATTTTATTTCATTGGGAATAGGGAATGAATAGAAGAAACGTGACATTTTGTCCACCAATAATATAAATAAATATCTAGATTATATCATGTTAAAAGGAGGGAAAAATGGATAGTTTGGTCCAACCATGTCAATAATTGCAGGCCTAATTTTTGGAGCCTTATGCCAGCCAACTTGCTGTGATAGGGTAGGACTATACCTTAATGTACCCTTCTTACTTCCTCCTTACCCTACTCATGTTTTGCATCTTGCCATTTTTTTTATTTTTTAATTTCTATATAAGTATTTAATATTTAATATTATTAAGTTAAGTTCGAGTATTCTTAGTCTCCTCACAATATTCCTCTCGATAATAATGTGATTCATGGGCATATCAATATACTAATAATATAAATATGAAATAAAAGTCACTAAAGTTAATGTTCTTATTGGAAAATGGGGAAAGAAGTTTGCAACTTGCCACTTTTTGTTAAACATTTTTTAATAATTGTATAATACTCCTCTGATCCTATTTATAGGGCAGAGGGAGAATATTTTTTGTCATATTTATAAGTTATTTTATTAAATTTTCAGCAAAATATACTATTTTATCCTTTATTTATTATAGTGTAGGTAGTTATCTCTTTTGAAATGTGTATATATTAAATATGAGTAAAGTTAAAAAATTATTATATTTTAATAGAGAATTAATGCATTTTAGTTTTTTTTGTCTGTGTGAAATATATTAAAAGTACCTTATAAATAGGACAAGAAAAATACTTGGTATTGATGGATTAAATTCAAATTCGCACACAAATCTAAAAATGTTTGGCCTTAAGTTTTGGAATAGCTCTCTTAATATAAATTTTTTGGCATGTCAATATTTTAAAAAAAGATATAGAAATGTTATTCAAGAATTATAAGTGTTTTAAAAAAATTATAATATAAAAAAGGACAAATGTGTAATTAGAACAGTCAATAAAGTGAATATTCTAATGTCCTTCCGGTGTATCAAAAAAAAAAGTGAATATTCTACTTAGGAAATTAGAATATAATTTGAAAAAAAGGAAAAGAAAAATAGAAGAAAGGAATAGAGTGGTTTACAGTAAGGATCCACCTAAGCACCACATTGCTGGTTTCCGAATCAAGTTGGACCCCGTTTGTGTCTCCCGTGACTACCCTTCTGCTCTGCGAATGCTTATCGTGGGCCCCACTTATCCAAATCTCCTCCCAGCATTTCATTGGTAGGTCACACCATGTGGTCCAATGCTCGCCTCCACCCAAATACTACCGCTACCCCACTTGTACCTCGTCAGTCATCAAGGATAGTAACGTAAAGTGACCATTTTTCATTAACAAAACTTGAGAAATGAGATCCACCGACTTCTACATTTTATTTTAAATAGTGGAAATTTTTATTTTTTTTATTTTGTATAATTTCATTTTTCCCAAAAAATTGCTAAGAGTGAAAAATATATATAAGATTCATTTTTGTCAGACATGCATATTATATAATTTGGCTCTTACTTTTTAAATACATTAAAATAATTTTATATATTTATTTGACGCATGTAAAAAAATCCTCAATTAAAACATTTTTTATTAGGTGAAAATGTGAAATAAAAAAATTTAAATATTTTTTGCCTAACAGATTTAGATGATAAATATTTTGTATCTCTATTCAAAGCAATAGGATATAAATTAAAAGTTATTTATAAATTACCTATATTAAAAAGATTAACTCTTTTTTTTTTTAATGCTTTCGTCAAATTTCCTGCTCGCTCAATGGACAAAAAGGTATCAACTCGGCTTTGTCGGCTTATTGGCTTGGATTAGCGAGTAGCTTGTCAGTAAAAAGAATTTAGCCGGCCCCAAAAAACTATTATTCCTGGGTCAAAAAATAACAATACAAAGACTACTTTTTCTTATGAAAGTGACTCGACTAATTTAATTTTAATGCATGTCTCCAAATTATTAGGTACCTTCTTTTGTGTGATATCAAATAAAATTTAATTAAATAAATATAATATGAAATAAAATATAAAACTATCAGAAAAGCACACTATTTATCAACAATGGATAACACTGTTCTTCTATTTATTCGGACTTTGTGCATTTTTATTTTTTGACTAAAATATATATTTGGTCCTTTAATTTTATACATGGTTTCAATTTGATCTCTTAACTTTAACAAATATATTTTTACTCTATTAACCCTAAAAAATTTTAAGAAAATGATGACATTAAAATATTAAATATTGATGAAATATTCTCAAATGTTAACATATTAAGTTTAATTTTCAAAAAAATCTATAATTGTTACAAAAAAAAATCATTAAAGCCTAATAATTTTAAAGTTAAAAGACTAAATATATGCTTTTTAAAGTTAAGGGACCAAATTAAAACCTTATATAAAGTTAAAGGACTAAATGTATACTTTAACCTTTTTTTTTAGATATTTTTTTCACACATTTTTGCTTGGTTTTATTCATTTCTTTAAAAAAATTTAATCTTTTTTTTTAACACATTTTCATCAAAATTGAAATGTTATGAAGCTTTCCCTCTGAGGGTACCAATTGTCGTTTTTACTCTATAAGATGTACAAAACACAATAAATGTTTCATTTACAAAAGCAAGGTTAATTTTCTATGCTTCTTTTTTTTTTGGCTAGCATTATCATTTTTGTTACCCTTCAACTAAAAGCAAATATAGAAAAGGAAGCTTCTCCTAAGATTCATTTTTCAAAAAGATGACAAAATCACATCCCCAATATTAATTTTTTCTTAGTACATACCAATAATTAACCACCTACCATAAGTGATATATATATGAACAATGAAATGCATTACTCATACACCTCAAATGTTTGAAAGAAAGAAAAAACTACTGCGGGGACTAATCCCCATTAATATTGAGGTTAAGGGGGAAAAAAACGCATTAGTGTAACTTTTTATTTTAGAAAAATTTAAATCATTTAAATCTAATTTGATTATCTGTATTCAACCTAGATAAACAAATTTTTAATCATTTGGTTTTTTTTATAGTTTTTATCTCAATTGTAATTCAATCATTAAACTTTAACTCACTCAATATAACTTAATTTCTATAATTTTGATTCACACAATACAACTTAGTATATACATCTAGTTTAGCGATTGAAAATAGAAGTTCATAAATCTTGATAAAATAATTTTAGTTCTTATAATATTATTTTTTAAAAATGCAATGACCAATATTTTAAATGGTTAAAACTATAAAGATAGAGTTATACAAAGTTTAAAAATTAAGCATGAATAGAGTCAAAACTAGATATTAAGTTGTATTAAGTTAAAGTTTAGAAATTAAGTTACGTTACAACGAAATCGAAAATATAGAGATCAAGTAATTAAGAGTCCCAAAAAAAATATCAACATTTATACAGAATTTACATAAATCTTCAACCCTATCTGAAAGGAGTATGACAAGCTTGTTATTGCTCAATGATTTACATAAAATTAAGGGATTTATCTTTGGAAAATATGGAAATCACTTATAGTAGCCTAGAAGAGACATATGTTAAGACAAAGATAGAGAATATAAATTCCATGAACTATCTAGTCCCTAATGTCTGCTCCTTACCTAGTTTAAAAAAAAAAAAAAAAAGAATTTGGTTTGTTCATGAGATGCCAACAACTTACCTTTGATCACTTGAGTGGCATGCATTAAAAATGAAAATGACATCACATTTCAATTATTTTTAATCCATCCTTTCAATCCTTCACAAGTCCAAGTTGGGATTTGTGAGGAAACTTATTCCTGTTTCACCCTTTGTTTCAATGAACAACCCTCAAAATCTGCATCAGCCCTGTCTCCTGCCCTCTCCTCCTTCTTCCTTCTGTGCCATTTACAGTCCCTTGTGACTTCTTCTGTTTTCTTCCCTACACCTTTGTTTTCTTCATTTCAGACACTCAATATTTTGGTTATATACCAACCAAACAGTTCACTTGGTTTTTTTCCCCCTAACTACTCATCAGTTTCTGAAATCTAAATTAAATCATTTAGCTTATTTTAAGTGACTCTATACTGTTGGAAATAAACATGTAAAGGGTTTTGTTAAGTAAAATAAAAAAGCAATCTTTTGAAGAGATGCCATACACCCACTTATCCTATTGAGTTGGTTCAGATCAAAGACTTGAATTCAAAACTTTACACTAAAGGAGAACAAGCGGTAAAACCAATAAAGACCAACAGCTAAATTTTACATTCCATTTTTTAACTCCTAACTTTCTTCAAATTTGATTGAATGACGCCATTTTCCTCCATATATCAATCAAGAGGACAATGTCAAATTTGGTCATATTTTACTCTCTACCTTTCTTGAAATACCCACTTTTATCTTATTTTACCTCAGAACTTAACTAAGACCATCACTTCAACTCGTGAAAAATGGATTTTTTTAAACCCAAACTAGATGCTCTGTTTTCCCAATCGGATTGCCAATCCCTATAAACAGAGCCAAAGTTGTAGTCATCATGTAACCAACCAACTAAAACTCACGTGATTTGCCGTACTGACCCTGTATATTTCAATGTACGAGAAAAATAATTAACCTTTGTCTCACAGTATATGTGGAGCTCCCAAACAAAACATGCTCCCCTTAACACCCAAGAGAAAAAGCATTCACGGACTCTCAGAAAAAATTACATTAGATTCTTTACAGTTGTTCTCTTGCATGCCTTAGCCAAAAGCAGCTACCATTAATAGATGTCTCTTTTTCACCCCAAAAATAAAAAAATAAAAATACAGGTCTCTCCAACTACTTCCCATACACACATCACGGGCTGCTAGAAAACAACGTGTTCTTTATTTATATATAAATATGTATCGTGCCAGATTCATATCAAGCATACTCTTTTGAGTTTTGCCTTTAGTTTTTTCATTTCAAGGTCACAATGGCCTGCCATGAAAACAGAGCACTCTCTGCTCTGCTCTGTTTTCTCACATTGTTCATTGCTTTGTTGATGAGTTCGTGGCAGGTTTCAGGCCAGGGATCGGCTGTGTTTGCTTGCGACGCCACGAAGGATCCGACGGTGGCTGGATATGGGTTCTGCGACAAGTCGTTGGCAGTGGATTCGAGGGTGGCCGACCTGGTGAAGAGGATGACATTGCAGGAGAAAATAGCGAACTTGGTGAATGCTGCAGGAGGTGTGACCAGACTTGGAGTTCCCAAATATGAGTGGTGGTCTGAGGCTCTTCATGGCGTCTCTTACACCGGTCCCGGAACTAGATTTTCCAATGTAGTTCCAGGAGCTACAAGTTTTCCTATGCCTATTCTCACTGCAGCTTCTTTCAATGCTTCTCTGTTTCAAGCCATTGGAAAGGTCAGATTTCTCTTCTTCTTCATCTTCATCTGTGGTTTTTGTCTGTGTTTGTTTTTTTGTTTGTTTCTGTGCCAAGTTGGCTTCAACTTGGATCCAAACTTGGATTTTTATCTCTGAAAATGACTTCAGGATCACTGAGCGAAAGCTCATTGACGTTATATCATTTCAGTGTCTGAGTGTGTTTCTTGATTTGATTCAGTTTTGAACTAAACATGATATACCAAGTTGATTTAATTGGTTCTGTAACAACGGACGATATATTTGACTTCGGGTTTTTATTTCTTTAATAATTGTTTTCTATTTCTAAATAATTTGATTGGGATTTTGATGAGAAGATCAATCCCAAAATCATGTTGGTAAATGAAGTTATGAAACTTAAAAATACCATTCCATTGTGGGTTCAGTTTGGGCAGATTCAGTTCAGTTTAAGTCAGTTCAATAAATTTTCGTAAATTTTTCAACAACACCCTCACTGCTTTGTGTCTTTTCAACTTCTTTTCTGATAGTTTAAGAAAATGGTTTGTCAACAAAAAGTGTTGAAAGTGGATAATTTAATGCATTAGGTTGGGAGGGTAATGTTGTTTATACTAACATATGACAGAGTTTGGTGAGATTTGAATATTACAGATGATTTTACAGGGTTGATTCATAGGACATATATGAAGTCCTTTGATACAGTTGGTAGTTTCCTTATTTTCTAGTATATTCTTAATGCAGAACATTATTGTCTTGTTCATTCAAAGATCCAGATGCAGGAGAAAATATCTTAAAAGAGAAAAAGGTGGTGGTTTTTAATTAGAATGTATTAATAATTACTAGCATTATGTCAATAAGGGTTATTCATTATTGACATAAAGAAGTAGATGGGGTGGATCAAAACGTGATTGATTTTTCCAATATCTCCACTGTTGATTGCAATCTTCTTCCTTTCTTTTGGTTCTTTTTATGCACGACAGAATATTAATTAAAGGGACCAATTAATTAAGTAATTTAATGTTTAAATAAGGCATGGCGTTTTCAATGAGGTATTCATTATTGATATGGTGAGGTAGATGGGGTAGCTACATGATTGGTTTTCCCACTATCTCTACTCCTTATTGCTTTTTTTTTTTTTAAGAAAAAGGGTGAAAGTGAACATTGAATGATTTCTTTCCATTCCAAAATTTCTGGACTTTAAAAAATCACGAGGTGGAGAATTTTTAGGAAGATTATTGAATAATACTTTGCTCCACTCTCCAATTGAAAAAAGTTCCAAAAAGATATCTTATCCAAACTTTTCATCATTTTGCCTCCTCATTTTCCTCAATCCAAATATTCTAGGCAGGTAATACAAATGTATGATTGCAAAATACAATTTTTTATTTAGAAAAAAAAAAAACAGAATAACAATGCAGAAATCGTCTTGCTGGGTATATGCAAGAAAGCAAATACATCATCTAAAGGTTCCAGCTTTGCATATTGAAAACCAGTAACTAGAAGATTAATCAGTCCTTTAAACATTGCTCATAATACTTTTAAATGGATGATTAACAAATCCCATTAAGTCATCAAAATGCAGGGTTCATGGCTTTGTACTATTCTACTTTCCTAGCTGATATTTTCCTGCAAAATTACCATCTTTGTCACTAACATTGGCTTTCAGATGGACTTTAATGATGAATTCAGAGGTTTCAGCCTGTAAAACAGTGAAATAATTGAAGACTAATCACTTGCACACATGATGCAAACATTACACTTGAATCGCACATTTCATAATACTTTAGAAAACAGGACGATTAAGAATGCTTCCAAATGATGTTTATGGCTAAATTTTCTTCTGATATACAGGTGGTTTCAACAGAAGCAAGAGCAATGCACAATGTGGGGTTGGCTGGTTTGACATATTGGTCTCCAAACATAAACATATTCAGAGATCCCAGATGGGGAAGAGGTCAAGAAACACCGGGAGAAGACCCTTTACTTAGCAGCAAATATGCATCAGGTTACGTAAAAGGCCTTCAACAGACCGATGATAGCGATTCGAACAAGCTCAAAGTTGCCGCTTGTTGCAAGCACTACACAGCCTATGATCTTGATAACTGGAAAGGAGTTGTGAGATACACCTTCAATGCAGTGGTAATTGCAATCTTAAGTTTGGAAGAAACACCTTAAGAGACTGTTTGAGTGTGTATTTATGGACATGAATGAAGAAAATAATTTGTTTTGGCTTTATGATTTGTTGGTTTTTGTAGGTTTCACAGCAGGATTTGGATGACACATACAACCCACCATTTAAGAGTTGTGTGATTGATGGCAATGTTGCTAGTGTCATGTGCTCTTACAATCAGGTCAATGGAAAGCCAACTTGTGCAGACCCAGACCTCCTACAGGGAGTCATCAGAGGGAACTGGAAACTAAATGGGTATTTATTAATTCTCCTAAATCATATACACATTTACTTGTTTCCTGATTAATTCAAAGAAAAAAAGGATAAAAATCAGTTTCTCAGGAAGCACAGTCAGTCTAGTGCTAGCCTGTAAGGTTATAGTCAAGAAGAAAAAATAGTTTCTATCCTTTATTCTACCCTGAAGAAAAAAACTCCAATTTTCTGCATCTCTCATAAAAGAACAATTATATTATGCTGTCTTTTGGAAACAAATGTTTGCTTTGACTAGATATAAAACCTAAAAAGGGAAAAAGAAATGTTTTTCTTTTGTTTCATCATTAACAAAACAAGCTATTAAAGTGCTTTGCATGTATGGGATATGCAGGTACATAGTTTCTGATTGCGATTCAGTAGATGTGTTTTTCAAAAGTCAACATTACACTAAGACCCCTGAAGAAGCTGCGGCCAAGTCAATTCTAGCAGGTAAGTGAACACGAAAGGCTACAATGTTTGGATTTAAAAATAATATGCATATTTGCTTGCTTATGCAAAATTTTGATTGAACAGGGTTGGATCTGAACTGTGGAAAATTTCTGGGCCAATACACAGAAGGTGCTGTAAAGCAAGGTCTTGTGGATGAACCAACCATTGACAAGGCAGTGTCCAACAATTTTGCCACATTGATGAGACTTGGTTTCTTTGATGGTGATCCAAGCAAGCAAACTTATGGAAACCTTGGTCCAAAGGATGTTTGCACCACATGGAACCAGGAATTAGCCCGTGAAGCCGCAAGGCAAGGCATTGTTCTGCTTAAAAACAGCAAAGGATCACTTCCTCTTAATGCAAAAGCCATTAAATCCTTGGCAGTTATTGGACCAAATGCTAATGCTACTAAAACCATGCTTGGAAACTATGAAGGTACTTTTATGTGCATACATTTGTGCTGTGTCTGATACGTGTTGACTTCTTTCTTTTCTCACACAAATGACTTTTTTTTTTTTTTTGCAGGTAGCCCTTGCACTGTGATATCGCCTTTTCAAGGTCTAACAGCTCTGGTTCCTACAAGCTATGCTGCTGGTTGTCCGGATGTGAAATGTGCCAGTGCCTTGCTAGATGATGCCAAGAATATTGCAGCTTCTGCAGATGCAACCGTGCTAGTAGTGGGGGCGGATCAATCCATAGAGGCTGAGAGTCTTGACAGAGTTAGCATTCTTCTTCCAGGACAACAACAACTTTTAGTTACTGAGATTGCTAATGCTGCTAAAGGACCTGTGATTCTTGTCATCATGTCTGGTGGAGGCATGGATGTGTCATTTGCTAAGTCAAATGATAAAATCTCAAGCATCCTTTGGGTTGGTTACCCTGGTCAAGCTGGTGGAGCTGCCATAGCTGATGTCATTTTTGGGTTCCATAATCCTAGTAAGTCACTAATACTCTCTCCAATCCTCATGGTGAAGGACAAGTCTCATGTCTATAAATCTGTTTGGCACAAACACTACTCTTTTTGAAGTTTCTAGGACCACGTCACCGACTAACTTGGGAATTCATGGGTGACATTTTTGACGCAGGTGGAAGACTACCTATGACATGGTACCCACAATCCTATGTAGACAAGGTACCAATGACCAAC